AATAAAAAAAATTTATTTGCCGAAACTGCATAGGTGAATGTCAAGTTTCAGATTCACTCCACTCTTCTCAGATTACAATTATTTTTTATTTTTCCAAACTCTCCCCCATACATATACCGTAATACTTATCAGATATTAAGATACATTCCCTCCACACTCACTCTTCTCTACCTTCTTTCTCCCTTTCTTCTCTTCCTACTTCCCTCTTCTTCCTCTCCTCTCCTTAACCACTCTGCTCCCCTTTCCTCTTCCTCCAACCTTCCTACTTCCTTCTCCCCTCCTTTACTCTTTTCTCTCTCCTCTCGTTTCTTCCCTCTCATCACTCTTCAGATACAATTCCAAGCAGAGGAAAAAAAAAATTTAAACGAACAGTTCCCCCCCCCTCCTTCCTGTCTCTGGCTCTTTTAGCAACGCAGCCAGCCGAAAGAGACGGGGGGGGGGGGAGAAATCTCACCACCAAAAAATAGTTTCACCTCCTTCATATGCATTGTTCAATAAATTCTCTCATATATTCTCCATGAAATTCTTCTCATACAAATATTTACTATTATTTTCACAGTTTGGGAGAAAATGGGTGGGTTTTGAAGGCTAACACACACTTCAACAAATTAACTCATTCAGTTCCATACTGACTGTTTGCATAAAACCATTCCACATACAATTATTTCATTTCATACTTTCTTCAGGCAAACCATATATTCTTAGCAAGGCCTTTTTGTATTGTTATCAGAGAGGGCTTTGAGCCTCTTCCAAGTCTTGGAATAACACAGAACAACACAGACAAACGTATATACACAAATACTGTTACAACAACATTTATTTAGACTTAACTTGTCCTGCAAGAAGCGAGAAAAATGACAGGGTGATTTCAACCAAAAAGTGGTTTGAGGGCCCTAATCATCTCCCATTTTTCTCACCATTCCAAGCCCAAGCATAATGTTCTGAGTGGCCACACACACACACATAACACAAAACACAACCAGACATTTGTCTGACGGTTAACTTAATATATTGCAAACTTTCCGATTGCTCAAAAAACTTTGTTCTGAGGGAGTAAATTTTGATTTATGACTCTAACTAATCAACAAAGAATTAGCCTCTTCAGAAGAAGCTGAAAATCCAATTAAAGATGTTTTTAGGAGGAATAAATTTTACTTAGTTGATGTGTCCATTATTTTTTTCTTCCTTGCCGGACAGGACTGAATACTATAGATGTTTATACTGAAGCCCAAGGTTCAAGATGTAATTTATGCTCTATCTTTTAGCCTAAGCATCTGATGCTTAAGATTGGAAGAACACTGTTTTCTTATCTCCCCAATCAGCTTCCTTATGTTCGTTTCAAGCGTTGCCAGGCCTGATTTCTGTAGCAGGAGTCTGAACTCCTGTACATGCTTTTGCTGAGGGTGAGATAATTTACAGCCCATACTTACTCACTGAGGGGTCTCATAAGACGAAAGTGCACCTAGGGGTCTGTTCCAGACGATGGTAAGTATGTTGGCAGCTGCTTCTTCCCGTAGGGGTCCCAAAACAAAATGTCCCTGCTGAGGGCGCCAGCTGTAGTAATCAGTCCTTAGTCATTGAAGGGTGCAAAGAAATGGCCACCTTCTACACAGCCTTTATTGTTTATATAGGGCTTTACAAAATAGCAAAAGTTACTGCATGGCAATAGCATTTCATTGGCTAAAATCCTTTACCAATCCTCAAGAGTAAAAAGCTAGAGGCTATAAACAGGGAAACTTGTTGTTCACCAGCCAGCCTTATCAAACTGGCAAGGTCACACAGACCTGCGTACTTTCACGTCACCATGGTGATGTGAAGGGGGGGAGAGAAGATAGATGCAGAGCAAAGATACAAGCGTGGGGGGGGCAGTTTTCCACACACGACTTTCGCCTGTCTCTCACCTCTACAAAAAAGTTGATCACTTTAGCTATATGCCTAACATAATAGGAAAAAACTAGATGTACAGGTACAATATAAGAGGTACCTGGCTCAGCTACAATACTGTCAATTGTAAACTGTAAGAATAACACAAGTGAGGCATATATTTTCATTTGACACAAGAATGTAGCAAAGTTATAGCAGAGTTTTGAGTCGCAACTGGAAAAAAGTATTTTTTTTTTTAAAAAAAGCCTGCATATTATACCTGTGAGTGGCAACAACTATGAGTAGCAACAACACTTGTTGTTTGAGGATCATCTGATTTTACAGCCCTGACTGGATTGCTTTGCAGCTATTGCAAGGAAGAACATAAGAGCAACAGTGCTAAATCAGGCCAGGGCCCATTTTATTTAGCATTTTACAGTGACCGGCTTTATAACAGATAGGAAATGAAGATATACCCTTCTTCTATCAATGTTCCCTTGCAATTGGTATTTTAATGGATAATGCATTTTCCTGGAGACAATACTTGGTTTTTCATTACAATACTGCCAGAATTAGATTTGTTCTTTAAGAATTTATCCAATCACTTTAAAGCCATTCATATTAAAGACCATAAATTCCACAAATTATTTGCTATGCTCTGTTTCTTTGCTTCATTTGCCTACTCTAAATCTCCTTCCAGTCTCTTTCCAATACCATGGTTTACAGATTTGAGAATGAGGAAAACTCTATGATCTCTTGCAGTAATCCAGCTGGTCCATTACAAACCTCTTAACCAATTGCCAAAACATCTTAGGGAGATATTTACATGACTGAGATTTGAACAGCTTGATACAATGGTCAGATATGTGAGGTTTTATTCTATACCGGGGAGTCAAACTCGCAATGTCACGTGACGTGTCATGACGTATCATGAGTTTTTCCCATTGCCAGAGCTGGAGTGGGCGCAGTTTCGGCATGATGCACCTGGCCTGCAGGTCGGCAGTTTGACACCCCTGTTCTATACCATATGATGGACGTTATCTGCACTTGCAGAATGATAGATGTAGAAGATTTGGCTCACATACTATTTGACTGTTGTTTGTATAAGAGGGTGAGAGACAGGTACCTTGGTTCATATATTAAACAAATGACTCATATTAAAATAACATATCTTATGTGCGCCCAGAATCTGAAAACAATATTTAACACAACATAATACTTGAGTAAAATGGTTCAGCTAAGATCGGCATATGTGGGACTGATTGGAGTAGATTGTAGGGGATAATACTGAAATATAATTTTATCTTATTTTACTTATCTCTATATTAAATTGTTGTATTTTACTGAAATTTCATTTTAATTGTTTTTATAGGATTTTATTAATAATCTATGTTTGGAACTCTGTATTTTGATATGGCCTATAGGCTAAGCGATAAACTAAACTAACAAATCTCTTAACCATTTTTTGCTTTAGTACCTGGTGACTATTATAAACTTGATAATCTATCATGAACTGGGGATATTTGGTTACGATTATGACATTAAATTGTATCTTTGAAGTACTTTTCTTGTATATTTATCATACTTCTAGATTTAAACTATGAATGGATACAGTGTAGGCATATGGATGCTAGTTTTGAAAAGTCTAGTAAAGGAATTCAAACAATTACAAAAATACATAGTTTCTTGCTTCTCTGTTATTTATTGGGGGAAAGAACTGACATGACGCAATAGTTCAGAATATGGAAAGGAATACATTAAGTGCATGCTTTTTTATTCAACTTACATGCAGAATATCAAGAGAAATGCTGGACTACAGGAAACAAAACTTGGAATTAAAATTGCTGGAAAAAACACCAATTGGCTCTCATATGCTGAAGTTTCCATTTTGATAGCTACAATGAGAACTATAAAGAATTGCTTGTTGAAGGTGAAATTAAAGACTGCAAAAAACATGTCTGCTGCTGTGTTAAAAATCACACACCCCTAGACACACACACAGAGATTAAGTCAATGCCAGCCCAATGTGATATCAGCACAGAAATTGAAGTACTAACAGATGTTACCTTCATAAGCTCAAGTGTCATGAAACAAAGATATTGGTTACTTGAGAGAAAGACTGTAACAGATCTAGAGAAAACATTAGACTTGTCACACTGACCATGACCATATGTACTGTTGGAGCCATGTTTTTTTTCCATTTGTAACATGGCTATCAAAGACACAATGAAGAAAAATGGATGTCTTTGCATTGAGGCATTGAATAAAATGGTTGAGAATATTTATGTGAATTCATTTGCAGCCAACTCCAATGAATTCTTCACCCACCAGAGGAAATCAGTCAATACTAGTTGAAGTTAACTCAGGAGTCGCTGGAAAAGACTTCAGTGCTAATGCTTGGAATACTCAAAGTAGTTAAAAAAGTTCAGCAAAACCAAGATGGTTATGAGATGTCTTTGGTGCTCTCCAAGTTTGGTTGTTTTCTTGCATAGGTTTCATTACCCAAACTAGTAATATATCAGTGCTAGTCCTAGCCCAGGGGTGTCCAACTGCCCACCCCAGCTGTGGCAAGGGGGAAAAGTCATGATATGCTGCTTCACGTCACGTGGCGAGTTTAACACCACTGTCCTAGCCTATCCTAGCACTGATGATGTTACCTAGTTTGGGTAATGAAACCTCCGCAAGAAAACAACCAAGCTCGGAGAGCAACAAGGAGCCTTCCTTTAACCGAGCTGCAAATATTCTCCTTTATTGACAAGGTGGTTAGATATTATGTCTGATGACATAAGCATGAATTTACAAGAACAGTCTCGGTGAAATGATATCCATCAAGGCACAAACACTCAGTAGCGACCGAGAAATATACTTCCCGGGTGAACATGGCTAGCATCAGGCCGCATAACTCTAGAGCATTTCTTCCGGGGAAAGAAATATAATAATCCCCACCACGTTGGCGTTGGGACCTTTCCCGCTGGAATCTTTTCTTCGTTCAGCCCGCCCTCCTCCAGTGAGTTTCGCAATTGGCCCTCCGGAGAAACTGGAGCCGCCTTGCAAACGTGGCGATCGGGCGCCTCCACCTTCAGCTAGACGTCTCCTCTTAGCCAATCGCGCGAGGCGTAGTATTCAACGGTGCGGGACTTCACCCGTTTGCAAGCGCATTGCTGAGTGGCTGGAAGGGGGATTCCAATGTCCAGTCCAAATTAGGCCATTCATAGGCGTCTTTAAAGCGAGACTTTTGCAGCTGGACCAGTATTGCATCATGGGGGGCAGGAAAAACGGGGCGACCCCACGTTGAGTCTTTATGAGCGCGTGGCGCGAGACAGGCGAGATCTGCTGGACTGGGAGGCAGCCCAAGCAAAGACACGTGTTAGATTCTACAAAGTAAAGAAGGTCGTCTCTCTCGGCGTATATTGGAGACTCGAAAGTTTCTTCGGAGACGAACCTAACTTGGGCCGGAAGAAGCCATGAGCCTGGGGAAAACGTCCAGCTCTCTCACGGTGGGGCTGATGCTAGTATTTTGCATCAACAGGTCCTTCGGCGTCCCTACTTTTAGAAAGGAGAGAGTCGTGCGTCTCGATCCCGAACTCGTCAACCGGCAACACGAAGAGAACCAGAGCTTTCAGTATGACCACGAAGCCTTTCTGGGCAAAGAAGATGCCAAAACTTTCGATCAACTTAGCCCGCAGGAAAGCCAGGAACGGTTGGGGTAAGATCCTCCTTATTTTACCAATATGGCATAAAGGTCCCTTCGTGCCCAGGAGGCACGAAGACGTTGATGAGAAGGCTGATTTAGAGAGGATTTTTTTCTCCAAGTAGGTACAGTGAAACAATAGTGTTTTGCACGCCGATGGAGTTTAGCCACTCTGCTGTCAAAGTTAATAGTATTTTCCCTTTTCCCATAAACGCGCGGGAGCCAAAATTAGCTCTGCGAGGCAAGAAATTTCTTACTTTGATGCCTTGGTAACGTGGCGGAGGGGAAGTTCCTAACAAACGCCTTGAATGAAAAATCAGTTTCATTCCTAGATCATACAGTATGTAATCTAGTTTTATATGGCAAATTCAAGTCCAGGATCAGCTCGTTGAAATGAAAAGGACTTTTGTTTGTTGTAGAAGAGGTTTTCTTTCTCTTTTTTTAAACTTTTAGAGGGCAACTTCCTTAATTTGTTGCAGCAGAAACAAGAGTCTTTCATGGGTGAGAGATATACCCAGTGCATGGCAATTATGTATCTTGTGTTGGCAGATACATAAATTGTGGGGTGGGACCACAGACTTAGTGCAAAACCTGTTGGGATTGACTGAAAAGAGTACAAAAATAAAACTTGATCAGTTTGTGTCCACTTCCAGTTCATGTTGCTGCAAGCTGGATATGAATAGGCAAGTCTGACTCTTAAGAAACCTAGCAACTAATAGAAATTGGTGGAAAACATTTCAGTGGCGTTGGACTCTAAGAAAGAAGTTGAAAGAGCAAAAGTAAAACAGTAACACCATAACAGAACATGTGAACAGTTTGCTCACTGAGCCCATGTTCACATGTATCCCATTTATTCCTCTTTTCTCCAAGAAACTTAGGTTTAGTCTTCCCATTTTATCTTAATAACAAATCTGCTGGGTGTTAAATAGAGAAAGCAGAGAGGTAAATTTGAGATTACCCTTTGATTTGCTGTGGCTAAGCATGAACTAGAAGAGGGGTGTCAAACGGGCTGGATGCATCAGGCCGAAACCGCGCCCACCCCAGCAATGGGGAAAAAATCACGACACGTCACGACACATGTGATGTTGAGAGTTTGACACCCCTAAACTAGAATATTCTCCAAATTTATACTCCTGTATAAATGAAGCAATATATTTCTTGCCTGGCCTAACTTTGTGATAAACTTGACTTTTCTGTATGAGGTAGGCAGAGAGAATTGCTTTTTCTAGGCAAAATACAGTTTGTGATGGCTTCCCATATAACCTATTTTTCTTCCCCAGTTTTTTATCCCATCTATTCTCCCTAGACCTGGAATAGGAAAAGCTCTTATTATATGGCCATTGGGGGGAATGACAAATGTTAAAACACACATAATGTCATGCATATATTTGTCCTGGTATAAATATATCTTTGTGGCATTTGCATGAACATAATTGCATGGGTGACATTTGGAGATCTTTGCTATTGGCTGAGGAAACAGCTTTCAACAATTGAAGTAAATGAAAACTTTGCTTTGTGGGAGGGTTCTTCAAGGTGTGGTGTTGGTGAGGGGAGACAAGGCCTTTCCTTCCCAATGTTGTATCTTCTCTTGAAGAATTGTCACCCTTTATTCAAAATAGCTCTCATTGATGTCAATAGATCCCCTTTTAAAGTCTAATTTCTAAGATGGGGGAGAGGAGACGCAAGTGTGTGTAAATGAATAGAATAAAAGTGTGTGGGGTGGGGCTGGCAGTTGTGTCAACACTGTGTTTTGATGATGCCCACGTAGGATGTGATCCAGGATAGTGTTGGTAGGGCTTCCATGTTTGATGGAGCCACTTTAGACTTCAACCCAAATAGTTTCTCCAGTAACTGGGCCAGACTTTGATAATTGTCATTGAATCTTTTGCCATCTGGTTATTGAGATGGATCACAAGTAAAGGTGAATCAACTGGTTTCTGTCTTTCCACTTCAGTCTGAGGTTCCTTCTATGCTTGGTGAGTATTCTGCATTTAAAGCATCCATATGATATAGAGAAGCTGATATGACTTGCATCCCTGCTTGCTTGTACCTGGAGGCAGGTGCAGAAGACTTGGTCTTCTGTTGGGCATCTGAGGGGGATTCTAAACTATGGGTGCCTTTTTTGATGCAGAACATAGTGACTTTATTCTGAGGTGGAAGTATGAGGCAGAAGTATAGGTCTAGCTGCTAGCTTGAGGAGTTATACAGTAGCTGCTGGATACAATAGCAAAGCAATCACCTGTTCTGCCTCCTACATTCATATATACAGGGGAGAAGTTTGTTTTCCTCTCCTCTCCTAGGCTTAAAGCTGGAATAAAACATTACTCTTCTCCTATCTCTGCTTATACTTGTGAGAAAAGCTATAGTAAGTATTCAGAGAGCCTTCATATAGTCCATCTTCTCTACCAGCCAAAGTTCTCCATCATGGGAAGGATTCTACATCCATTCAGCCAACTCTAGAATTCCATTTTATATTGCTTTTTATTTCATTTAGGATCATTAACTGTATATATGAAGGTTTGCCATGCCATGGACAAATATCATGCCATTCAGCCAACTCTAGAATTCCACTTTATATTGCTTTTTATTTCATTTCGGAACATTAACTGTATATATGAAGGTTTGCCATGCCATGGACAAATATCATGCCGTATATTTGTCCATGGCAAGGCAAACCTTCATATATGACAAATGTGGCATATTAACTGGTCCTTACAGTCTTGGAGAACATTGTTCTCCTTTGAAAGAGAGTTCACAAGCACTGGTCAATATATTGATTGACAATCTGTCTTCACTGGCTACCCATAATATTAGTTTTTGTAAGCTCCACTGAACATTAAATTTCTTCACAACATTTTAACAGGTTATTCTACTTGCGTTTCATTTGCTTGAAACCAGTAACAGTGGGGTTTTTTGCTCTTTTTGTCCAATTGTAGAAATCTAATTAGTGAAAGATTATCTAGTTAATTTTTTTGCTGTGACAAGTGCTGAATGACAAGCCCACATGCCCATGCAAGTCACAACTAGGTTTTTGGGAGAAGATTAGCTGGAAAGTTTGCCCTGGCATTTAATGCTGTGTATGAAAAGTTAAACCTCTGTTTAGTGGACAGACCTTGATGCAATGGGCAAAATTCTTGTTATATTTGAATAATGGTAGAAATCAAGGCCAATGATATAAATTGGTATAAACGAAGAATTTCCATCAGTTACATATTGTAATATAATTGTTTTGCTACAATTTTACTGACAAAGAGGAGCAATAGACACTCTCTCCCACCAAGTGGTCTATTAAATTAGGATTTTATTTGTGTATAACTATACTTTGGGTCATGGGAACCCTCAGATGCAATCTAATCCAGATACAGATCTCTTTTCTGATTTATATCCTTCTGTGTATGGAGAAGGAGGTTGGAATTTGTATTTTGGCATTTTATTGGCTTAGACAACACTTAACAAAACTTGACTAAGTACTTATATGTATGGTTGTATGAAAAAGGAATGTGATCGGTACTTTTAAAACATGCTAGATTATCAAATCCCTACAAATTCAGTGGACAGATACCATCAGTTCAAGTTTGCCAGATTTGACTCTTTAGGGTTAACATGTGGCCTTTTATTTTGCTGTCATTCCATTCCTCTTTTTTTTCCCCGCCCTCACTGTCTGAGGAGTGGCTTAAAATGCCACGTAGGTTTTCTTGGAGAAGGCACAAGAGATTATTCCTAGAGAATGAGAATCTCTTGCATACATCTCCAGTTTTTCTGCTGCTGCCTGATCAGACAAATAGTTGAAAGCAAAGGTACAGTGAAATGGAGAGAAAGACCAAGACAGGAGATGGGTAGAGATAGGGACTGTGAAATGTCATTTGCTTATAATGCAACCCTTCCTCAGAAATAGTTTGCAAGTCAGTCACAATGGATGGATTGCTCAAGTATATTGTACTATACATCAGATACCAATTTGGATGTTTATATATGATCTGGAAGACAGATATGCATGAAAAAAATTGTTGGTGCAAACAGCAGTGCTAAACAGCAGAGATAATATGCATTATAACACCTTTAGATAGGTATCATAGTGGTTCCCATTCAGAAGATTCATTTTAAGCAAATATAATTGTAGAAGGCAGATAATAATAATAATAATAATAATAATAATAATAATAATAATAATAGTAATAAAGTTGGAAGGGACCTTGGAGGTCATCAAGTCCAACCCCCTGTTCAGGTAGGTAACCCTATTTCAGGGTTTGTCCAATTTCGGACAAATTGCTGTCCAGTCTCTTCTTAAAAACTTCTAGTGTTAGAGCATTTAACCGCTTCTGGAGGCAGGTTGTTCCACTGGTTAATTGTTCTGTCAGGAAGTTTCTCCTTAGTTCTAGGTTGCTTCTCTCCTTGATTAGTTTCCACCCATTGCTTCTTGTCCTACCTTCAGGCGCTTTGGAAAATAGATTGATTCCCTCTTCTTTGTGGCAGCCCCTGAGATATTGTAACACTGCTATCATGTCCCCCCTCGTCCTTCTCTCTCGTCCCAATTCCAGGAACTGTTCCTTATATGTTTTAGCCTCAAATCTCCTAATCATCTTTGTTGCTCTTCTCTGTACTCTTTCTAGAGTCTCAACATCTTTTTTACATCATGGTGAGCAAAACTGGATGCAGTATTCCAAGTGTGGCCTTACCAAGGCATTGTAAAGTGATATTAATACTTCACGTGATCTTGATTCTGTCCCTCTGTTAATGCAGCCTAGCACTTTGTTGGCATTTTTGGCAGCTGCAGCACACTGCTGGCTCATATTTAAATGATTGTCCACTAGGACTCCAAGATCCCTCTCACAGTTATTTGTAGACAATTTGTAGAACAATTACCTAGGATTATATGGATAGTAATGCAAATTCTGAAGAATATTTACTAAGATTCTAATTATCTGATTATTTTTCCCTTTATCTCAGCAAAATTGTTGATCGGATTGATGATGACAAAGATGGTTTTATCACAACAGAAGAACTGAAAAATTGGATTAAAAGAGTACAGAAACGTTATATCTTTGAAAATGTGGCTAAGGTCTGGAAGGATTATGATCTCAATAAAGACAATAAAATTTCATGGGAAGAATACAAACAAGCATCATATGGCTACTATTTAGGTAAGAAAATTCTAGGCATACAAAAATTCAGCCGATTGGTTTACATTTATCAGCCATAACACTGAACCTAATTCAGATGCAACAGAACAAGAATGAATAGTGAATTCTGAATTCTAGCATTGTTTCTAAAAACAATGGAACAATTATGGAACAATTCTTTTTTGGTTCTTTTCCAGAATAGTATGACTGGAAGTAAAGTATTTAGTAAAGTATTCTCTGGTAGGAAACAACAGCTTAGTTCAAACCTAGATCCTATCAAACCCATTTTGGCATTTTACGTTTTTGATAAATTTTATACAAAATATATCAGAATACTTGAATGCCAAATAACATCTTGAGATTTTGGTGCAGAAAGATTCCAAATCGCCCTGAAGTATCCTTCTTTAATTCAGAACGTGTCCAAAACAAATGCAAATACTTTCTCTATATGAAAAGCAAGCCTTGTGTATATTAAATACCAGCTGAAATTAAGCCAAGGGCTACAGCCAGGCTGCAGGTTATTGATATTTGTCTTTGATGTATTTAAGATTAAATTGCAAGAAAGCAGAAACTCACTTTTTTGTAAATATAGGTAGACAAGATGCACAGATAAGAAATGAACACAGAAGAGAAGAAATGGGCATTTGTCAATTTAATCTAAATGTAAATGAATCACTAATGGGACTTTGGACGCAGTTTTGAGTTCCAGAGGACATGGGTATCATTAAAGAGGGTGGGAGTAACATTCCTATATCCTTTGTTTCTGACTACATGTGCTTATTCAAGCATATCAGTTTTCTGGCCAACTTGACTCAGTGCATATTGTTATAAACAAGTAAAGATTTCTGTGTATGAGGTATACATGTCAACGCACAAATGCTTTTGCGTGTAAAAGAAAAGGGACTGCTTGGGCTATTTTCAAAATGGGTTTTGACTAAAATGGTAATTAAGTCCTCTTAAAATACCTTGCTTCTGTTTAAAGTACATAGAAGTAGCAGCTGCTGCAACACTGATAGTATATATAAGGATGGGAAAGGGATGCAGCTATGTAACTTTATCAAAACATCTCTCTAGTAAATACAAAATGCTGTGGTTTTTATTGCGGGCTAAGGAAAGAATTACATTTTTTATTTGAAGAATATGGAACTATATATGTGTGTATGTACCACACTAGGTTCTAAGATCTAATGGAAGAATTCCCATAGGCAGAATACTATACTGGACGTATACCTTATGTAGGAGAGATTTAGATTCTTGCATATCATTCCTAGGTAACGCTCTGGTATTTAATTATTCCTGCAATTTTAGTTTGATTCATCTTATTCTAATCATTCCTTTTCTCTAGAGCATTCCAGAGAGTTCCAGGATGCCACAGAGCAACACAATTTTAAGAAAATGCTACCCAGAGATGAAAGAAGATTCAAACAAGCTGATCTGGATGGTGATTCAGAAGCAACTCGTGAGGAATTCACCGCTTTCCTTCACCCAGAGGAGTTTGAGCATATGAAAGACATTGTTGTTCTAGTAAGCTCTGGCATAGCCACCTTTATTCCTTTTGGGCTTTTCTTTGTTACATCGCTTTGAAAATGGCTTCCTCATCTCTCAAGGCAAGGTTTCCTAGACAGTAATTGCTGTTCTTTTCATCCAGAAGGAAAGCTGCTTTTAGGAATTAGGTTGCTAAAATGTAGCCTCTCTCCCTAATTTCTGTGATATCTCTTGTGTGTTGATAAATGCTATCTGAAGATTGTTTAATAGGAAGGTGACAAATAGTCGTTTCCCACCCATTGGGACAGTGAGGCTTTGGTATGTCCCATTGGTGGATTCTACATCTCCAGTGCTAGAGAAGGGGCATTGTCTTACCTGAATGCCTTTTCTCAGCACGGAGACATAGAATCCACTCCCACCCTTAAAAACATTAAGATTATATTAGGGAACCGGGAGCCATCACGTCGAATTGTAGTCAGTTGCTTCGCCTTCGTCAAGAATGCGACAAGTTGGCTAACCCGGTCTAATGGGCAGGAAGGCAGAGTTAACTCATTGGTGGATTCTACGTCTCTGTGCTGAGAAAAGGCATTCAGGTAAAACATCTCCCTTCTATCTGAAGATTGTTTAGTAGGAAGGTGGCAAACATAGACATGGACCAGTTTTGCCATAAATATTGTCTTGTTGAAGTATTCAACAAATACTTGATGTTATCACATGCTAAAGCAACAACACTGAGGAAAAAATGCTTCTGTTAAATGTTTTAAAGTAGCATCCATTGAAAGTCAGAATAATGCAAACATTGTGTTTTTCCCTACATTTATCAATGGCCAATCCTTTGCCTCCTATCTCTGACACATTACAGACCCATTGTTGCTTGAGTACTACAAAACTCGGCTGTTCTCATGATCCTTCAAATTAGCTGTAGAAATCAGGGTGTGGCTGCTTGCTATGGCATAATTTTACTTTACAAGAAACATAGGCAGTGCCTTATTGTGAATAATTCACATATGTTAAGCATCATTTGTAGCTTCACACTCTTACATTTAACAAAATGAAATAAACCAGTGGTTTTCAACTTCACCATGGACCCCCCTTAAATGTCTTTTGTGGCCATGGACCACAAAAGCTTTAAATTGTAACATTTTTTCAAGCCTTCATGGACCCCTGTGATGATACCATGGCCCCCAAGGTTCTGCGGACCACAGGTTGAGAACCCCTGAGATAAACCATTCCAATGTGTGATGTCAAACTAGGCATAGTCAGCCATTGGCCTAATTAAGTGATATCAAGACCAGCTTTTTCCAGCCTTATGTCATCCAAGTGTTGACTATAGCTTCCAAAATTCCCTAGTCTGTCTGTCTGTCTTTCTTTCTTTTTCTTTTTTTCTTTCTTTCTATACTGAGATTTGCGCTTAAGCTCTTTCTGCAGTATGTACTGAACCGCAGGCCTACTGCTCTTTCTAAGCCTTAGAAACTGTGTTTGCTATTCCTAACCTGGAAGGTTGCAATAGTATTAGTCACATTGATTTATTAATGACCTGATATTTAATTTACTAAGGAGCCTTTGAAAGTATATACTGCATTTTCATTTATATGATATCTCCAGAGAAATATTACAGAAGCCCCTGTAGCCAATTCCTGTGCATAAAGAAGATTCTAAGGTAAAACATACTCTGTATGTATGTTCAGGAAAAGTATTTAGATAATTTAAATTATGTTTATTGTATGTTTTATTTTTTTAAAAAAGGCTCTATTGCTTTTGGTGTAAACGGCCTTTCCCAGACTGTTCCTTTCCAAATATTTTAGATGTCAACTCTCATAATTCCTAGCAAGCACTCAATAGGCCAAACTGGCTGAAGTTTATGGAAGTCAAGACCACTGGAGGGCTTCACATTGGGAGATGCTGATGTAAAAGGACAGCTGAAAATGAAAGATTTATAAGCAGTTTGCAGAAAATCCCAGGCATCTTTGTACTGACAGCTTTTTCCCCCTTATTATGACAGGAAACACTGGAGGACATAGACAAAAATGAAGATGGTTTTGTGGATCAGGATGAATACATTGGTATGCTATGGCATGGAGAATTCTACTATTTGTTATAAATATGATTTCTTTTTGTATAAATTTATGATTTTTACTGAAACTTTTAAAGTGAAATTTAATACAAAGTAATATAATGTAAGGAAGAAAAAAAGAAAAAGCCAAAAGTTCAAGAAAAGAGAAAAATTGAATAAAAATAGAAAGAAGGAAAAATATATGAAGAATCATATTCCTTTCTATAATCTATCCTCTGTAATCCTCAAAACCATAAATCACAAGTTCATTTTTATAATATTTTGTAAAATGTCCATAAGATACTTCTACTCACCAATAATTGCAGATAACGTATTTTCTCTAATCAAAGAAAACAATTTATTCATTTCAGCAATATATGTGAACTTCACCAATCATTCCTCCATTATGGACAATGGAGGAATGACAATGTTGAATCTTTTCATCTTGGTGCATGTATTAATCTCGTCACACTAATCATATATTGACATAATTTCCCATGACATTTTTCTAACTCTTCTCCCATTAGTCCTAAGTTCTGACTTAAATTGAATACCGGTCTTTAACATCCTCTATATCAAAGTTTGTATTTGAATTCATTTTTTTAGCTTTTATTCATGTCCACCAAACATGATAAAATGTTCCTTCATGTTTACATTTCCAACATTCATTTGAAGCAGTATTATATATTCTAAATCAGACATGTCAAACTTGCGATGTCACGTGACGTCGCGCGACATATCGGAACTTTTTCCCCATTTCCGGCAATGGGGTGGGCGCGGTTTCCTCATGACGCATCTGACCCATGGGCCGGCAGTTTGACACCCCTGTTCTAGATTATTTCTCTGGTGTCCTGTACCAATGATACATTGTTGAATACAAATTCTCTTTTAGATCAAAACACAGTATAAATTTCAACTTTTAACCATTTATTTTCCTGTCAATTCATCTGTATATTATAACCAAAAGTTTTATCATACATTCTTTAATCTGTTTTTGTATGTTTTTAATTTCAACAAAAGTTTATATATTTTTAGGAATTATGTTTATTATCAGTACGCAAATATATTTCAAATTCTATCTTCTAGCTCATACTATAAGTCATTTTATCCATTTTACATCTTTCAGATAACTATAAATGGAAAAACCATTGACAACTATATCCTTCTGCTTTTCATTGCTCTCTTGATTTAATTTTAAATTTGCCTTGGTAATTTTCCAATGAGTTCCGGTATGCCAATTTTCCAATGAGTTCCGGTATACTTTTTTTTTTTGCCTGCCTATTCTCCTCCCTTAACTTATAGATTTGTTTTAAATCTTGAGTCCAGAACCATAATGAGCAAAAATAGAGACAGTGGATATTCTTGCCTTGTCCGTTTTTGAATCTCACAAGATTTTGTTATTCTCCATTAACAATTATTTGTGCTTTCTGAGAACTACAAGTCAACCTTATATGTTTAATAAAATTATCTCCAAGCTTCATATGTTCCAGAACTGTAAACAAACAAACAAAAAAAGAAATTCAATTCAAATTATCAAAGGCTTTCTCTGCATTCGGAATATCAAGGCAGCTTGCTTTTCATTATGTTGCGTCAAAATAGTTCAAAATATTGAAAACATTTCTAATATTATCTTGTAGTTGTCTTTTAGGTGTAAATCCATATTGATCTTCATAAAAAGATCCTTAAAATAAATATGATTTCTTATGGTCAGTTTGGGTAGTCTTCTCCCAAGTTAGACACTGCACATAGATTGGTAGTGAGGCTGTAAGTACTGGGTATCAGTCATGTTCTTTCTTAGAATCTACTTGAAATCTACAGTACATGCAAGCCTAATACTTGCATAGAATTTTCATGGATAAAAACCCCAAACCATATTTAATATTCATAGAAACTGGAAATCAGCTAAAGAGCTCAAGTGTCTTTGCTGATTGTGCATCAGCATTTGTTCAGTTCAGAAGTACGATAAACACACTTGATAGGAAAGGCATCATGTGACTTTTGACTTCCTATTATCTATCAGTTTAGGAAAAAGATTGTTACCATTTCCTTACTTGTTAGATAACTCAGAAATATAGGAAAAGTACAGGAAGTTTTGACTCATGACCATTTGTTTAATGGCAATTCAGAGTTACTACAGGCTCAGAAAAAGTGACTTAATGACCATTCTTAAAATTACGTTTACTATTATTGCAATGGCTTGCAGTCAAATGATCATGATTTGTTACCTTCTCAGTTGGCTTCTGACAAGCAAAGTCAATTGGGAAAGCCAAATTTGTTAACAACAGTGTGATTCACTTTTTTCTTGTTTTTTGTATGTTGAAAAAAACTTTTTATGATAATTTTTGACATTTGTTGCACATCTTAGTTCATTCTGAGCCTTAGCTTTAAATAAAGATGAAGCCCACTTTTTTGTTAGCTATAGATTTAATTACAGATCAGAGCAGCAAAGAGCAAATAAGGAGAAACGTGACTTACAGAAAATGTGAAATATTTAAGCATGTACATGGATGGATTTTTGGGTTGTCCTTCAAGGAGCAGTTACATTATCAGTTCAAGAGTACGATGATAAAAGGAGTGTGAAACTACCATGCAAATAATATACGGGCCTATGCAAAGCAGAATCTGAGAATCATTACACTGAAGTCTCTTCCCCCTTCCCGCCCCCACCCCCATCCCTCCTATCTGATGCCAGCAGAAGTTCATCTATTCTTGAATTTTTAACGGGCTATAAAGCAAATTTTCTCCATCTTAGGAGCTGAATCCAATTTCTACAAATTATAGTCAGTATATTAATGAAGATGTAGCACTAAACCATTAAAAAAGGAAATGATGAAAAATTATGTTGGAAGATGTAATTACATGGACCACTTCTGGCGTTTTTCTTTTGCAGAATATGACCCCCCCCCATGAATAAACCTATTATAAAAAGTTTGGGTTCAGTAGGTCCTGTGATACAGAGAGAGAAGGGAAGGGGATCATTAAAAAAACCCTGAAATTACCTTTAGCCTAACAACTATCTCATAGTCTTGTACATTATTTAATTTTAATCATTGGGCACCTCTTTATATAAGCTTCATTGGAAGTTTATTGCCATGATTTATGTGGTTTATTGGTTCGATTTTCATACTGATATTTTGGGTGACCAATGCATTTGCTTTTGTATAATCATGAATGATCGGGAAATACGCCTGTATAGAAATACAGTAAATAAATAAAGGCAGGATACATTTTTTTCTCTAGTACAGAATCTTAAGTTTTTACATACTATTTCTTATTTCCAGCTGACATGTTTGCACATGAAGATGGGAGACCTGAACCAGACTGGGTGGTAACGGAACGTGAACAGTTTGCAGATTTTCGAGATCTAAATAAGGATGGGAAGATGGATAAAGAGGAGATTCGACACTGGATTCTTCCAAAAGATTATGACCATGCACAAGCTGAAGCAAGGCATTTAGTTTATGAATCGGATGTAGATAAGGTATTTAGGTTTTTTTGACCCCACAGGTGTCATGTTATCGTATTGGTTTGATTCAATTTTGTGCAACCAGAACTTTAAGATTTAATAATTCTGATAAGATGTTTATTTTAAAAAATGCATCATTTGAATGAGTACCTTGTTGTCATTAGTTAATCTTTCAGAAAATGCCTGAAAAAAGTATATATATAAAAAAGTGTACAACTGTGAGCCTAATGTGGATTTTAACATTTATTCTAATCCAAAGATTGATGTGTCCTCTTGTATGCCTAGTATTCTGTACAGTAAAATCACAGTTCAGAATAGTGGAAGCACCTGAGTGTGCATTTGTGATGAAGTCTGCAGATAAGATTCCTCTGAATATGAATGGCTACAAATGGTCAACTGCATGCAGCTCATCTTCAGCTGCTCCCAGGCTCTTCCAGAACATCACTATTTGGCTTTTTCTTATTACAGCATGGAGATTCCTATGGTCCTCTTGAGCAGAATAGGATTTTCTGCCAGCAGAATGTACCTCTACTTCAAATATAGCTTCGGATACAAGTTAAAAATTATAAGTGTTTTCTAAAGTTTTTTGGATCAAGAAAGCAAAATTTAGATTATTTTTTCACACCAATAATTTATTTTCCCAATTGTTTTTCTGCTTTTGTAAACAAATGCCTACTGATACTTCTTTTTGTACATTGTTCTTTTTATTTGGCCTAAAGCATTGACGCTCACATATAGGCTTTATAAATAAAGGGGTTTACATAGAGGCATGAATAAATACCAATCCAAGTTCTTATACCAGAGTCTGGATTGTTAAAACAAAGAGGAAAAATTGACTAGAATGGAAAATAGCTATGTGTGTTGGTTATTTGTAGCTATTTTTCTAACCAGCTATTTTTTTTCCTTGCAGGATCAGAAGTTAACCAAACAAGAGATTCTAGATAATTGGCGCATGTTTGTTGGAAGTCAGGCTACAAATTATGGAGAAGACCTCACAAAGAATCATGATGAGCTATAATATTTTTTGAAAAACAAATATATCAAGAGACTTATGTCTGAGTTGCCTGTAGAAGACCTGAATAACAGTGGTCATTATGGCAAATTAATTTTGCACCAGTATATACTTTCTAACAAAAAGCAATTCTGTTAATACCATTGAATGGCACAGATGTCACTTCTTCTAAATGCGTATTTTAATGAATTCATTGTAACTTAGGGAGTGCACTTTCCGTTTGTAGCTCGACATACTTTCACTTCAATCCTAAATATGTAAACTTGGATTTATCACTAAAATCAGTGAGATTTAACTAGTGAAACAGACTAAGCCAGCCTCCCATCTTACTACTTAACATGTAGTACATCATACTGTGTGTGGAGGGTTGAATAATTCAGTGCTCTTTTCATAGTATAGCCAAACCCCATATTTCAAAGTATATGGAGTCTATCAAATGTGTTGGGATACAACTCATCGCCAATCCACAAGACTAATGGTAGATGAAAAGCTTGGCTTTCATCCCTGCCATGTAGGGATTTCTTTGATGTCAGAATGTTTCAAATGTTTTAGCTCATGTATAATGAAGTGGTAGAAGCATGATATAAGGCTACGTCACATGAAATATACTATCATCAAGATGCATTGCTCAGGATTTCAGCGATAGGTCTCTACTCAGAACCAAGATCCCATTGCAGAAGGTTACACAACTCATAATGCCTTTGACAGAGAAATGATCGGCCTTGTCATTTCTGAGGGTTATTGCAAAGGGACCATCACCTAGAACTCATTCCCTTCTAGACTGATGAGAATGTGTGGATTGGGATGTATATTTTTTTATACAAAAAGCTCCAGTATTTTCATAAGGAAGAAAATACATATGTTACATAGTTTTTCTAATTTTTTCTTCTAAGATGGGCAGGCATTCTTGGAGACCAATTCTCATATTTCTTTCTAATGGAAATTGTAGTTTTAAAACGTCTGAAAGGCTCCAGATTGCCCTCGCTGTTCAAAGATGTAATTTATGGGTTGTATGTCTGTTCCGTTTTGAAAATTTTTAACAGCAGAAAAGGTGCTCATTTTCATCTTCATTTGCTCCTTACAAGGAAGTATATTGGTACTGACTAGTATGAAAGACAAAAGTACCACAGGGAAGGAGAATTTGTACACATCCCCTTTTGAGTATTTGCTATTGGAGAAGACTTGAGCACAGGCTGCTATCTTGATGTGGGATCTTGTGAGGTAAATTGCCACTTTTAGATTTTTGCTCTTGATTTTTAACTTACTGTATGTCATACGACATACAAGCTTTTCCAGAATTTTTGCCTTTATGGACCAGAAACCATGAACAATAAATACTTTGGTTTTAAAATCCCAAAAGTGGAATTTAAGAAGGCATTATTCTAAATACTTTTTTCCCTAATACAATTAGTGACTGCTTGTGGAAAAAACATCTTTCCTGATAATTCATTTTCTGACAAAATTCAATCTGATGTGAATGGGGAAACACCACATACTGTACACGTTGTAGGCTGCAACAAGATAAATTGCAGCTTTTTCCAACTTGACATTCTCCACATGCTTTGGATTATAGCTCACATTATCTACAGCATGAGGAGAAACTAACTGGAAATTTATGAAGTAGTCATAATACCTCTGGAGGCACCAGTCTGAGAAAGACTGGAGTACCATGGGCTTCGTCCCACACAATGCTAAGCTATAATTTGGCTTGTTTCTGCCTTAGCATGTTATGAAAAACATGGATTGTAGGTCAGCTTAATATAGGAACCCAAGTATTGTGGTTTAATCAATCAATCCTGGGCTTAATGTTATATGAATCCAGATGATTCTGGATAGCTATATTCCTGCAGTGCATCATCTCAATTGCTGCTATTGTTCAGGGGTAATAGTTTTTATTCTGCATGGATGACAAAGATTGAACTAGTTTTTTTCAGAAGGCAGCTGGCTGTATCTTAGGGGAGGATACACCATGTCAGACATGAAAAAGAGGTTTCCACAATAGCATTCCATGCACTGTCCTTTCCTAGTGGAGGAGAAAATCTCAGTCACTTATTGGGAAAAATGGCACAGTTTGCCTTTGTAGAACGAGAAGTGAATGCACTGCTCTTAATATCCGAAAGATAGAATGGCTCTGGCACAATGTGTGATCTCTGTTGGGAAAAACTAATCCCATACTTAATTTACCTGGGAATGCTATTGGATGACATGCAAGAACTCAGATTTTATCTCTGCTGTCAACTAGTAGCCATCTAAATTTTTGCAGCCCAGATATGCCATGTAGTACCACAAAAATGGCAGCATGTTATTAAAACAGTTTTTAAAGAGTGGCTTACATGGCATTCTTGGGGAAGTACCAGTAAATATATGCTCTACCAAGGTGAAGAAATTATTTGGGATATATACATAATCCAACTTTACACCACCTTTATCCTTGCATATTCTCCTCTGGCCTGTGCCAAGCTGTTCATTTTCAGGCTTCAATTCTCAGAATTTCCACAAACAAACATAGTCTTTGATGATGCTGTTTGGGATTTCTGGAAGCTGTAAGTATAATATATCTGAAGAACATTAGATGGGAAAGATATTAATTTTTGGAACCAAAGAATAATGGGAGAAAATTCAACAAAATTTACAAACTTTCTTAAAAAATACTTTCAGTTCTTATGAGTAGCTTGAAGTGATATTTAGGATGTTAAAATGGAAATCAATGAAAATCCTAACTACAGCAATCTTGAAACATTTTGATATTTCAGGATGCTTTTTTATATACACAAATAACTAAAATAGACCAACAGTGCTGGGTTTAAAATGAAACACTATTTAATAAAATCAAAGCTTTGCTAGGTGATAAGCCTAAGCATAATCAATCAATCAATCAAAAAGGATTTTAATGGAGCTTGACTCTTCCAGAGATGTTTGTCTTGGTAATATCATTAAAGTCCAATTATGATAAATGCTACAAAATGTTACGGTAATACTATGTCATATAGTATTATTTATCTTCTTAGTATGAGAAAGTATTAATTGCTGGGAACCATGATTCATTCCTGCAATGCAGAAATTAATTTTGTGTTTCTCATCAGTTACTTCAGATTTTTTTCTTCATGAATGGATTTTTGTATGTGCAGGTTCTCTGTCAACACTATTGTGACACAGATCTTCCATTAACTAAAATATTTTACTTATGGCAGTGTCATAACACACAAAAGAAACCTTCTTTCTTCAATACGTAGAATGTTTTTAAGAATTAGTATGCATTAACATTTTTGTTATTAGGACTTACCAAATTTAATTGGCTAATACCTATTGTCTTAAAATCCCACATGCATCAGCCATTTCCAATCAAAGTAGTATTTCTCCTATATGATAGAGAAAATACTGTACATATTTTTATATAAGGACTATCTCCATACTTTATATATGCTCTATACAAGCTGAGCTTATTCTTACTGACATCACTAGAAAGTTCATAATGTTATAAGAGAGAGATATAACTCACTGTGATCACAAACAATAAGTAAACATACAGTTTATTTGGAACGTTTGTCCTATGTTTACTTGAAACCCTCCCCCCCAAATGTGTATATGGAATAAAGCTCCTGACATAAATTGCTGCAGATGCAAATGTATTTGTTCATATAAATGGATTGGTTGGATGGTTGGTTGGATGGAAGATAGGTAGGTAGATGATTGATAGAGAGAGAGAGACACAGAGAGAGAAAGATAGATAGGCAGACAGACAGATTCATCTAGAGTCACTAGTCTTTGTATAAAAATTGTTACTTAGAAGGTACAGTATGCCTGTTCACGCTACTCTTGTCCTTTATGAGCTTTTATCATAAATCAAATACATCCTTATGTGTAAGAGAACCCTGGCTTTAGTGATGTACTAATCTCAAGTTTTCATTGTTTTAAATAGAATAGAACAGAATAGAATTAGAATAGAATAGAATAGAATAGAATAGAATAGAATAGAATAGAATAGAATAGAATAGAATAGAGCTAGAAGGGACTTGGAGGCCTTCTAGTCCAACTCCCTGCTCAAACAGGAGAACCTATACCATCTCAGACAAGTGACTGTCCAGTCCCTTCTTTAAAAACTTCCAGTGATGGAGCGCCCACGATTTCTGGGGGCAAGCTGTTTCACTGGTTAATTGTCCTCACTGTCAGGAAGTTTCTCTTTAATTCCAGGTTGCTTCTCTCTGATCAGTTTCCAACCATTGTTTCTCGTCCTGCCCTCTAGTGCTTTGTTGATTAACGTAACCCCCTTTTCTTGGTAGCAGCACCTCAAATACTGGAGTACTGCTATCATGTCTCTCCTGTTTCTTCTTTTCTTTAGACTAGCCAAACCCAAGTCCTGCAGCCGATCTTCGTATATTTTAGTCTCCAGGCCTTTGATCATAGAAGCAGACTCTTAAAGATAGTCTGGAAATTTCAGCTGGCACGGAATGTGTGGTGAGTAGTTCTACATAATCCTCACTTGAAGAACTTCACCGTTTGCCAGCTACCCTCTGAAAATATTCAGAAAAACTTCTTCAAATGTTCATAATGGTGTATAAAGCCTGAACAGTTGAATCCCAAGATATTTATGGGACAACATCCTCCCATGTTAATCTGATCTTCATTCTTGCGGTTGATAGCAATGATTATCTCTGCTTTCTTTGCAATGGCAGCTATATGGTATTATTGAATAAATTGCCTCTGGAACTGAAGCAAGCCCACCCTGTATTACTGTTCAGGAGTTAAAGTCTTAGTACTGGTTATGTTTTCGAAGTTTTTTATTTTGTGATTTTTTTTAAAAAAAAAATGGCTTGTCCAGAACTACAATGAAATGAGAGGGCAGCAAATAAAATGTCCAAAGAAAGGCCTAGGGCTCTTTTTAATTTATAGATGCTATATTTTAAAGCATTTTCATAAAACCTTGTAAAAGAGGGCAATCACTGTGGACAAACTTGCAGAGTTTCTCATCTGTTTTTTCTTTAACCTCTTGTTCCACTTATAGATAACACATAGTAACATGTGGAATCCTTAATGCTCTCTGAGCTTGGTTGTTTGTTTGCAGACATTTCATTACCCAACTAGGTAACATCATCCCCGAGTCAGTATGGTGCTTACTGCCTATTTATATACAGTAGCTTGCCTTGCCAGTTTTGGTGGGGGTGTGGGTTTCTCTTTAATCGTTTCTTGAGTAGGGTATTGTTTCCTACCTGATTGCCAGATGTTAATCCTTGCTTATCTGGCTTTTGGCTGCTGGCGGGAATGTGTTCTGGTCTTTTATTTTCAGTAACAAAAGGCTGAATGTTTTGTCACTTCATACTGTATGTTGCAGACAGAATTAGCATCTCTAGTTGTATCAGTGAGAATTGAAACATAAAGCAATATTTGACTTTATGGTTGTGCCTGCTGGGGAATGGACATGGGGACATATCTGGTAGCTCTAATTCAACCAGAATAATCCTTGATGGTAAAGATATAATGCTGCATTGCCCAGATCACTCTATTTCTGTTCTGCATTAGCTTGATATATGCTTCATTGCAACACCTTCAGTCTAATTTAATTCCAGGTTAGTGTGTCAGGACATAACCCAAAGCAATACAACATGCAGCCCATAATGCATCTGTATAGCACAACATATGTATAAACATACATTTCCCAAATCACATATATCTGTATATATTTGATCATAAAATACATATTTGTGCATATTTACTCTATTTAATATTTCCTTGCAACTGTGACTTTGTGTATGGGAAGCATACACAAACAGAGGGATAGCTATGCCTGATTTGCATAGTGTCTCAGAAGATGAGAGCTAGCTGAGTTTGCTTTAAAATGTGGCATTCCTATGCCATTAATCCCTAGCAATTGTAGTCGGCGTCATGTCCTAGAACACAAGAAATTTCACATATCCGTGATACCAACATCCATTAACAGACACTTTCTGGATGAAAATAATAAGATAAAATAATATGTTGAAAAGCCATCTGAAACAAATCCCATTATGAATTCTATTTTTTTGTGTGTGGTGGTGGTATTGGGGATATCTGTTCCCTATCTATTGCAAATCATTCTGGGTGATCCCAAATAAGCTTAAGTTTCCATTTTATATAGTACACTCTATATCTATATCTATATCTATCTATCTATCTATCTATCTATCTATCTATATCTATATCTATATCTATATCTATATGTAGGTCTTTGGTTATTCGGGTTTTCTCCCGTGTAAAATTGGAAGTGTCTTGGCGACGTTTCGACGAAGTCCCATTCGTCATCTTCAGGCTGGTGTTTTCAGCTTCGTGCTTCGAGGAGCAAATATACATACATACATACATACATACATACATACATACATATATACATACATACATTCTGAATAAACAGAATTTAAAAGAAGCCAAACATACAGTATTTTGACGTAAGTAATATTTTGTTGGGAATTACTTGGATATATGAAATGAGAATGGCCTTTAGGGAGAAGGGGGGGGGGAATGGAAAAAAGAGAAGGAAAACAGCAAATGTCAGTGAAACACAATTGTCTTCCTAAACTGAGGAGCAGGGAGAAAATTGAAAGTTGATCTCAGGAACCTTTACTCTTAGCCAAACAATTGCTATATTCAGCATTCAAAAAGATGTCCATCATATGTGCTACTATTTAAATACAATCTGGTAAGACACTACTTTCTTCTCACAAATTCATCTTGAAACCATTTCCTTGTGATACTACTGCATGCTGAAAAGAAGTAGATGAAGGGCAGGGGGCTAGGGGAAACTATGGGAGAGGGTAGCTATAATAAATGTAACTAGTCTTTCCTCACTTTCAGTAATCATGGCTCAAAGATGTTTCCTTTATTTGTTCCCTAACCCATAAGCAAACCAGCCACAAGTCTGTTGCTGTGCTGTTGTTAAAGTAGTGTTTTCCCTTTAAGCCAAGAGCAGCCAGGAGCATCTTTGAGGTATATAAACTCTGTCATGCTTGAGTATGTATAATGGCAGAAGTGAATTTCAGGTATGAAGTCAAGTGATGAGTAGCAGGTGGTGCCAGAACAGCAATAAACTGAGGGATAAGATAAAATAATGTACAGTGCCTATAACAGGAATTTCACATCAGAGAACCTATTTTTTTCTCACCCCATTGGTGTGTGCATTAATTGATTATGTGCCATCGAACTGCAGTCAACTCCTAGTGGCCACATAAATAGATTGTCTCTATGATGACCAGTTCCCTAGCCTGGACGTTCAGTTCCTCCAATGGAGCATAGAGCAGAGATATGAGAGTGGAATTCTCATCGAAACTTATGAGTTTGCAAGCTCAGGTAATTCAAATGAAGAGACAAGAAAAACTAAATGACTATGATGGGCATGGAAGATGGGAATTAAGCCTCTCATTCTTTACCATGTACTGATTAGCAATGAGGAAGGGTCTACTAGATTTCCTTTATGTCCCTAATCAGCAACTCTCAATAGAAGGATCAAGTCTAAAGATACACTGGAGAAGAAGTGTTATCATCCTAGCCAACATAAATATTTGCCAAGCTGGAATTATGGGAATTGCGGCCCATCATGTATGAAATGTACTGAGTATGGGAAAGAGCAAGTTAATTTTTAAGGTAACATTTAAAGTCAGCAAAAACTGCTTGAAAAAAAACATTGCTACTATTCCAGAAACATCTACTGACACTAACTATAGAAGACATATAGCTTCCTGTAATTAGTGTGCACCCTTTAGATGTGGCTAATTACCTCTTATCAATTAATTTCTTTCTCATTAGGGACTGTAGACATGAGAGAGAAAATGAGTGGTCTGGACTCATAAGGCAGCAGAAAATTCAGTTAGATAATTTTTCAAAGGTGGTTAATTCCAGGTGACTATTAGGTTATTCAACCTAGGAGAATTTAATGATTCCAGACAGTTTGTGCAATGAATGTCCCTGTAAATCATTTATAATTACAAATATAAAAATTAAAAATCAGTCTGAAGAGAAAGATAACATGCTATTAATGACAGGGAGCATAGGCTAGCACTGGACGCTTAGGCCTTTTTAATCAGGGACATTCCGGTGGCAGACCTCGGCACCTCACAGGGATTCTACTGGAAATTCAGAACTACAGGCCTTAATCAAATTAAGTCATTAACCCAAAGTAGAGTCCACCTTTTTTCCACAAATAAGCAAGATTTCCCTAATCTTGTCTAACTAATAGTATAGTTTTATTTCTGTTCTTCTCAAAACCTAAGATTATTTATTTGAAGGCAGCACATTTCAGATTATTTTGATTAACTGGCAACAATCCATGAAATTGCACATGGAGTAGAATGGGGTATGGGGGAAGGTCCAAACCCTTTTATATTTGTCATAGTTCCTGGACCCCTTTTGAGTATGCCACCTTTTGATGGCATAGTTGCTGAACTAGGCTGAATATTGCTTCCTTCCCACAATTTGAGATGGAATACACATGACCAGGAAATTGTCTTTGGACAACATTGGCTCCCCCAGCCAAGAAAAGGAGATAAGCACTGGTCCTAGAGTCAGACATGACAGTAGGGAAGCCTTTACCTTTACCTTACCCATGAAGTCTATAGTGTGACTCCTAAAATAAGCTTAACATA